ATCATCGGTCATCGGCGCTCGCGAATGAAGAGCGCCCGCTACACTTCCTGCACATGTGCGGATCCTTCCGAATTTTGGGGCTGGATGCGCTCGTTCCGAGAGTTTTTTCTTCTGCCGGGTCAAGTGGTTGCGCTTGTCTAGGCCTATTACCAAGCCAGCAAGGGCGTGGGAGGGTTGCGAGCATCATTGGTCATCGGCGCTCGCGAATGAAGAACGCGCGCTGCACTTCCAGCACATGGGCGGATCCTTCCGCATTTTGGGGCTGGAAGCGCTCTTTCCGAGCGTTTTTCTTCCGCCGCGTCACGTAGCTATGCATGTCTGAGCCTATTACCAAGCCAGCAAGGGCGTGGGAGGGTTGCGGGCATCATCGGTCATCGGCGCTCGCAAATGAAGACCGCCCGCTGAACTTCCTGCACATGTGCGGATCCTTCTGCATTTTGGGGCCGGAAGCGCTCGTTCTGAGAGTTTTTCTTCCGCCAAGTCACGTGGTTGCGCTTGTCTGGTCCTATTACCACGCCAAAAAGGGCGTGGGAGGGTTGCGAGCATTATCGTCATCGGCGCTCGCGAATGAAGAGCGCTCGCTGCTCTTGCACATGTGCGGATCCTTCCGCATTTTGGGGCCGGAAGCGCTCGTTCCGAGAGTTTTTCTTCCGCCAAGTCACGTGGCTGCGCTTGTCTGGTCCTATTACCAAGCTAGCAAGGTTGTGGGATGGTTGCAAGCATCATCGGTCATCGGCGCTCGCGAATGAAGAGCGCCCGCTGCACTTCCTACACATGTGCGGATCCTTTCGCATTTTGGTGCCGGATGCGCTCGTTCCGAGCGTTTTTCTTCTGCCGGGTGACGTGGCTGCGCTTGTCTGGGCCTATTACCAAGCCAGCAAGGGCGTGGGAGGGTTGCGAGTATCGTCAGTCATCGGCGCTCGCGAATGAAGAGCGCGTGCTGCACTTCCTGCACATTGACGGATCCTTCCGCATTTTGGGGTTGGAAGCGCTCTTTCCGAGCGTTTTTCTTCCGCCGGGTCACGTGGCTACGCTTGTCTGAGCCTATTACCAAGCCAGCAATTGCGTGGGAGGATTGCAAGCTTCACCGGACATCGGCGCTCGCGAATGAAGAGCGCCCGCTGCACTTCCTGCACATGGGCGGATCCTTCCGCATTTTGGGGTTAAAAGCGCTCGTTCCGGGCGTTTTTCTTCTGCCAGGTTACGTGGCTGCGCTTGTCTGGGCCTATTACCAAGCCAGCAAGGGCGTGGGAGGGTTGCGAGCAACATCGGTCATCGGCACTCGCGAATGAAGAGCGCCCGCTACACTTCCTGCCCATGTGCGGATCCTTCCGCATTTTGGGGTTGGAAGCGCTCTTTCCGAGCGTTTTTCTTCCGCCGGGTCACGTGGCTACGCTTGTCTGAGCCTATTACCAAGCCAGCAAAGGCGTGGGAGGGTTGCGAGCATCATCGGCGCTCGCGAATGAAGAGCGTGCGTTGCACTTCCAGCACATGTGCAGATCCTTTCGCGTTTTGGGGGTGGAAGCACTCGTTCTGGGCATTTTTCTTCCGCCGGGTCACATGGGTGCGCTTATCTAGTCCTTTTACCAAGCCAGCAAGGGTGTGGGAGGATTGCGAGCATCATCGGTCATCGGCGCTCGCGGAATGAAGAGCGCCCGCAGCACTTCCTACACGTGGGCGGATTCTTCCGCATTTTGGGGCTAGAAGCGCTCGTTCCGGACGTTTTTCTTCTGCTGAGTTACGTGGCTACGCTTGTCTGGGCCTATTACCAAGCCAGCAAGGGCGTGGGAGGGTTGCGAGCAACATCGGTCATCGGCCTTCGCGAATGAAGAGCGCCCGTTACACATCCTGCACATGTGCGGATCCTTCCGCATTTTGGGGCCGGATGCGCTCGTTCCGAGCGTTTTTCTTCCGCCGGGTCACGTGGCTGCGCTTGTCTGGGCCTATTACCAAGTCAGCAAGGGCGTGGGAGGGTTGCGAGCATCATCGGTCATCGGGGCCCGCGAATGAAGAGCGCCTGCTGCACTTCCATCACATGTGCGAATCTTTCCGCATTTTGGGGCCGGATGCGCTCGTTCCGAGCGTTTTTCTTCCGCCGGGTCACGTGGCTGCGCTTTTCTGGGCCTATTACCAAGTCAGCAAGGGCGTGGGAGGGTTGCGAGCATCATCGGTCATCAGCGCTCTCGAATGAAGAGCTCGCGCTGCTCTTCCTGCACATGTGCGGATCCTTCCGCGTTTTTGGGGTGGAAGCGCTCGTTCCGAGCGTTTTTCTTCCGCGGGGTCACGTGGCATCGCTTGTCTGGGCCTATTACCAAGCCAGCAAGGGCGTGGGAGGGTTGCGAGCATCATCGATCATCGGCGCTCGCGAATGAAGAGCTCGCGCTGCTCTTCCTGCACATGTGGGGATCCTTCCACGTTTTGGGGGTGGAAGCGCTCGTTCCGAGCGTTTTTCTCCCGCCGGGTCACGTGGTTGCGCTTGTCTTGGCCTATTACCAATCCAGCAAGGGCGTTTGAGGGTTGTGAGCATCATCGGTCATCGGCGCTCGCGAATGAAGAGCGACCGCTGAACTTTCTGCACATGTGCTGATCCTTCCGCGTTTTGGGAGTAGAAGCGCTCGTTCCGAGCGTTTTTCTTCCGCCGGGTCACATGGCTCCGCTTGTGGGCCTATTACCAAACCAGCAAGGGCATGGGAGGATTGCGAGCATCATCAGTCATCGGCGCTCGCGAATGAAGAGCGTCCAAAGAACTTTCTGCACATGTGCGGATCCTTTCGCGTTTTGGTTGTAGAGGCGCTCGTTCCGAGCGTTTTTCTCCCGCCGGGACACGTGGCTCCGCTTGTCTGGGCCTATTACCAAGCCAGCAAGGGCGTGGGAGGATTGCGAGCATCATCGGTCATCGGCACTCGTGAATGAAGAGCGCCCCTGCACTTCCTGCACATGTGCGGATCCTTCCGCGTTTTGGGGATGGAAGCGCTCGTTCCGAGCGTTTTCTCCCGCCGGGACACGTGGCTTCGCTTGTCTGGGCCTAAAACCAAGCCAGCAAGGGCGTGGGAGGATTGCGAGCATCATCGGTCGTCGGCGCTCGCGAATGAAGAGCGCCCGCTGCACTTCCTGCACATATGCGGATCCTTCCGCGTTTTGCGGGTGGAAGCGCTCGTTCCGAGCGTTTTTCCCCCGACGGGTCAAATGGATGCGCTTGTCTGGGCCTATTACCAAACCAGCAAGGGCGTAGGAGGGTTGCGAGCATCATCGGTCATCGGCGCTCGCGAATGAAGACTGCCCGCTGCACTTCTTGCAGATGTGCGGATCCTTCCGCATTTTAGGGCTGGATGCGCCCGTTCCTGGCGTTTTTCTTCCGCCAGGGGTGTTAAGAAAAAAAGAATAAAAAAGAAAACAAAACACACACACACACACACACACACACACACACATACACACACACACACGCGCGCACACACACACACACACACATACACACACACACACACACACACACACACACACACACACACACACACACACACACACACACACACACACACACACACACACACACACACACACACACACACACACACACACACACATACACCAATTTCAAAACCGCCTCGACGATTCCGATTGAGTGTTTGTCTGCCTGTCGAGCAGGGCCATTGGTTTGTTCATTTGCAGCGGACGTCCCACGACCTCACCAAAAGCTGATAGCATTCAAGATGTATGCATCTCTACATCAAACATCAAACATTTTCACCCTTTTAAAAATGTTGGGAAGTAAATGTTTCAATTTAATCTGGTGGCAGACCACCCCGCTTGGTGGGCCAGAGACGGGACCTGCTGGGCTGGGGAATATTGCCAGTTCGATTGAGGCATTTCAGTTCTTTCAAGCTGTGGTTGTAAAAATGATCTCAAGCTCGCTTCAATGGCGCCAGCTTCACTGCTTGGCGGGTCCGCTGAAAGCTCATGGCGCCGTTTTCGCTTATGTTTGCGGGAATCGCATTCAATAGCTGACAGCCTCGCCTAAGGCCGACGGCGTTCTCAGCTCTTCCGATGGAGTTTCTGAAATTGTCATGACATTGCCCTTGAAAGACGGAGCCAGCAAGCTGTAGAGTTCTCGTGCAATATGCGGTAAGACTTCCTATGAGCTCTCGCTCTTGCCGCTTGATCATGTATCGCTGCCGACGATTTGTTGTTTTCCTTCCGTTAACTTCCTGCATTTCATCGTGCGCAATTAAGCCGGCGATCACGAGGCATTCGTGCCGTTGAAGTGCATCGTGACTATGCTGCACGTAGATGAAGCCAGATGGGTATGTCTGCTCGCGTGTAGGCCCTCTCGCAGGGCCTCTGTCATTGGTGGGCCTGGAATCCCCATAAATTTCATTCGTCGGAAAACGCGAACGCGCTCGTTGCTACCTGCAAAGGTAGTTGTTTTCTGTCACAGCATCTCATCCTCTTGCACTCTCTCCATTCCTTTCCGCAGGTTGACTGGCATCTACGATAATGAAGACGGAGCTCCAAGTACTGAAGCTTGATGCTGTTGATGAAGCATTGATATGGTTTTCTTGGAACACGGGGTTCTTGAGGTGATGCTGAGATAGACATGCTATTACTCTATTTGTGGAGCTTGTGTTTCCAAAGTAGTTCCAGAAGGCTCTCCCAACAGCAAGCCAGCCAGCATCGCTCATGCGTGAAATGCTTGTAGAAATTAATATTTTAAATATGTTGGAAGGTCCATTTTTTGAAAATCAGAACATAACTATTCCACGGCTGGGTAGTGCAGAGGTTTCTGTTGAGATGTTCATATCATAGTGAAAATATTGTATTAGAGTACTGTACTCCTGCCCACCGAGAATCTTGGTACTTGGCTCCGTTGGGCAACTGGTGCCAGGGACTCGTGTCAGAGGTCTAGCGGTCAAAACCGTGGCGAAGATTCAGTTGCTTGCCGCACATTCCCAAGGGCTAGAAATCAGATGCGCTCCTCCTTTTCGCTTGTAGTTCCTGATATGAGCGCGGCTGGTCGAGGCGGCAGAGGGGACTTGGAAGCGGGGCCTGAACCAGCCACGGATTCGGGTCTCGCTTCGGGATTCTCGTCAACCGGAGGGTGGTCGGTGCCGTCCGCCGTCGATATGCGATGGGTAGGCTGCTACGCTAGCAGTCGCATAGACTGATTAGTGTTACCCGCGCTTATTGCAGCTCAGCGGTTCAGGCTTCGTGCTAGTCGTGATTGCGTCTTACGGCGAAGGCTAGACTTTATTCGTTCAGAGTCTCCAGGCTTGAAACGCGGAAAGGCAAATGTAGCGCCAGCTCCTGCGCGACCCTTTCGCCGTTTTCTACTCCGTCCCGTGCCGTCCTGTCCGCTGGTCGGTCCAGTCCTGCCCGTGTTAAACTGTGTTTCCATGCGAAGACAACTCGCGCTCCTTGTGTTTATCACATGTCACGCGTTGCTTGTGTTCGCTTCTATCTGAACGCCAGATTCAAGGCACGCCATTTCTCCGCAAGGGTCTTACATGTGTCGTCCGTATTCCAAACCTCCCATGCTGTCCATGCTGCAGAGAGCACCAGGCGGCCAATCGTCAGGTTCCAGTAACGGGGGCTTCACTGGAACGAGCGGGCTGTCGATTCAGTCCGGTGGTGCACCACCATCCACCCAATCCGGCTTCCCGTTCTCACAGCCGCAGTCCGTCGGCCTCTCAGGATCAGGAGGCCAGGCATCCGTTGCAGCGCGGGAGCTGATTGTCAATGTCCAACCGCTCGTCTTCATTCTCACCCGTAAGCAGCCCAGAGGTTCTTGTCCTTGTGAACAATGAAGATCGGTTTGTCTGACACTCAGTGTTCAGCCTCTGGCGCATTGACTCACTCCTCTCTCGTCCTGCCCTCCCCTACGTGCTCTCTTTTCCCTGCTCTGTGTTCCCTGCTCTCTGTGTCCTGCTCTCTCCTTCCTGTTCTCTGTTGTTTGCCCGCCAATGTACAGTCATGTTTCTCCTTATGCTGCTCAGCTTCCCTCAGGCTTCAGAGTTTCTGGTACGTCATTTCCAACCCCTCCTTGCCTGTCACACCACATTGTGAGCACTTGGACCAGTGCGTAAGGCGTTCCAGTCTCTACTTTGGTATCTTCCTGGTTGCTGCTTATGCAAGCAAATCAACATTTACCTGCATTCATCGCTTTCTCTGCACTGCATACACATCGCTCCTTTCTTCCCTCCCCTCACCTTCCACACGTCCCCACTTCCCATCAGCTGTGGGTGTTCATCGGAGCGTTTGTAGCAGCCATGCTGCGAGGCCTCTCCCTCTACCGCCATCTAGCCGACCAAGCGAGAGCCCAGCGTGCCTTTGCCCGCCTCCTCGGCCTCCCCCCTTCCTCCACCTCCTTCCTCCTCTCCAATCCATCTGCGCTCGCCTCCCCTTTCCCCCCCTTTGGGCCGCCGTTCTCGAGTCTTCCCTTCCAGCCTGCAAGGGGTGCAGCAGTCCCACTCTCCGACCTCCCCTCCTTCCCCTCTCTCTCCCCTTTCCCCGCCTTTCCCTCGTCCCTCTCCCCTTCCATCACCCCGTCCTCCTCGTCCGGAAATCTTAGCCAATCCACGTCAGCAGCGGCCAGATCAGCATCGGCTTTAGCTGGAGCTGAGTCAGCACGAGATGGAGCAGCAGCATCTGCTTCCGCTGCCCAACGTATGCACGTGCAGCAGCCACAGGCACAGGCACTATCAGAGCTCGGTGGGGAGTGGTTTGGAGTGGGGGAGAGGGGTGGAAGAATGGAGGACGGGTCGTTGCTTGCTGCAAGAATAGGCTCTTTGGTTCGAGCACAATTTGGGCAGCAAGGTGTTTCTCGACAGCAGCAGCTGCAACAGCGGCAACAACAGCAAGGGCAGCAGGGGCAGCAGGAGGGGGATCGCATGTGGTTGGAGCACCAGGCGCAGCTGCGGCGGTTACAACAGCACCTGGGGTTACAGCTGGCTCTCATGCACAGGGAGCTGCAGGCGTCAGGTGGGCAAGAGGTTTTTAATCGATCCTGCATCGGATAGTGGTAGGGGTTGCCGTGTTCTTGTCTCTCCCCTCCCACGCGTCCCCATGATCCACGTGTTTGCACCTGGGGTTACAGCTGGCGCTCATGCACAGGGAGCTGCAGGCATCAGGTAAGAGAGAGGCTTCAAGCCCAACGCCCAAGCCCAATGCCCAAGCCCAATGCCCAAACCCAACGCCCAAGCCCAACGCCCAAGCCCAACGCCCAAGCCCAACGCCCAAGCCCAACGCCCAAGCCCAACGCCCAAGCCCAACGCCCAAGCCCAACGCCCAAGCCCAGCGCCTAAGCCCAACCCAGCGCCCAAGCCCAACGCCCAAGCCCAACGCCCAAGCCCAACGCCCAATCCCAACGCCCAAGCCCAACGCCCAAGCCCAACGCCCAAGCCCAACGCCCAAGCCCAACGCCCAAGCCCAACGCCCAAGCCCAACGCCCAAGCCCAACGCCCAAGCCCAACGCCCATGCCCAACGCCCAAGCCCAACGCCCAAGCCCAACGCCCAATCCCAACGCCCGAGCCAAACGCCCAAGCCAAACGCCCAAGCCCAACCCAACGCCCAAGCCCAACCCAACGCCCAAGCCCAACGCCCAAGCCCAACGCCCAAGCCCAACGCCCAAGCCCAACGCCCAAGCCCAACGCCCAAGCCCAACGCCCAAGCCCAACGCCCAAGCCCAACGCCCAAGCCCAACGCCCAAGCCCAACGCCCAAGCCCAACGCCCAAGCCCAACGCCCAAGCCCAACGCCCAAGCCCAACGCCCAAGCCCAACGCCCAAGCCCAACGCCCAATCCCAACGCCCAAGCCCAACGCCCATGCCCAACGCCCAAGCCCAACGCCCATGCCCAATGCCCAAACCCAACGCCCAAGCCCAACGCCCAAGCCCAACGCCCAAGCCCAACGCCCAAGCCCAACGCCCAAGCCCAACGCCCAAGCCCAACGCCCAAGCCCAACGCCCAAGCCCAACGCCCAAGCCCAACGCCCAAGCCCAACGCCCAAGCCCAACGCCCAAGCCCAACGCCCAAGCCCAACGCCCAAGCCCAACGCCCAAGCCCAACGCCCAAGCCCAACGCCCAATCCCAACGCCCAAGCCCAACGCCCAAGCCCAACGCCCAAGCCCAACGCCCAAGCCCAACGCCCAAGCCCAACGCCCAAGCCCAACGCCCAAGCCCAACGCCCAAGCCCAACGCCCAAGCCCACGCCCAAGCCCAACGCCCAAGCCCAACGCCCAAGCCCAACGCCCAATCCCAACGCCCAAGCCCAACGCCCAAGCCCAACGCCCAAGCTCAACCCAACGCCCAAGCCCAACGCCCAAGCCCAACGCCCAAGCCCAACGCCCAAGCCCAACGCCCAAGCCCAACGCCCAAACCCAACGCCCAAGCCCAACACCCAAGCCCAACGCCCAAGCCCAACGCCCAATCCCAACGCCCAAGCCCAACCCAACGCCCAAGCCCAACCCAACGCCCAAGCCCAACCCAACGCCCAAGCCCAACGCCCAAGCCCAACGCCCAAGCCCAACGCCCAAGCCCAACGCCCAAGCCCAACGCCCAAGCCCAACGCCCAAGCCCAACGCCCAAGCCCAACGCCCAAGCCCAACGCCCAAGCGCCCAAGCCCACCAGCGCCCAAGCCCAACGCCCAAGCCCAACGCCCAAGCCCAACGCCCATGCCCAACGCCCAATCCCAACGCCCAAGCCCAACGCCCAAGCCCAACGCCCAATCCCAACGCCCAAGCCCAACGCCCAAGCCCAACGCCCAAGCCCAACCCAACGCCCAAGCCCAACGCCCAAGCCCAACGCCCAAGCCCAACGCCCAAGCCCAACGCCCAAGCCCAACGCCCAAGCCCAACGCCCAAGCCCAACGCCCAAGCCCAACGCCCAAGCCCAACGCCCAATCCCAACGCCCAAGCCCCCAAGCCCAACGCCCAAGCCCAACGCCCAAGCCCAACCCAACGCCCAAGCCCAACGCCCAAGCCCAGCGCCCAAGCCCAACCCAGCGCCCAAGCCCAACGCCCAAGCCCAACGCCCAAGCCCAACGCCCATGCCCAACGCCCAATCCCAACGCCCAAGCCCAACGCCCAAGCCCAACGCCCAAGCCCAACGCCCAAGCCCAACGCCCAAGCCCAACCCAACGCCCAAGCCCAACGCCCAAGCCCAACGCCCAAGCCCAAGCCCAACGCCCAAGCCCAACGCCCAAGCCCAACGCCCAAGCCCAACGCCCAAGCCCAACGCCCAAGCCCAACGCCCAAGCCCAACGCCCAAGCCCAACGCCCAAGCCCAACGCCCAAGCCCAAGCCCAACGCCCAAGCCCAACGCCCAAGCCCAACGCCCAAGCCCAACGCCCAAGCCCAACGCCCAAGCCCAACGCCCAAGCCCAACGCCCAAGCCCAACGCCCAAGCCCAACGCCCAAGCCCAACGCCCAATCCCAACGCCCAAGCCCAACGCCCAAGCCCAACGCCCAAGCTCAACCCAACGCCCAAGCCCAACGCCCAAGCCCAACGCCCAAGCCCAACGCCCAAGCCCAACGCCCAAACCCAACGCCCAAGCCCAACGCCCAAGCCCAACGCCCAAGCCCAACGCCCAATCCCAACGCCCAAGCCCAACGCCCAAGCCAAACGCCCAAGCCCAACGCCCAAGCCCAACCCAACGCCCAAGCTCAACGCCCAAGCCCAACGCCCAAGCCCAACGCCCAAGCCCAACGCCCAAGCCCAACGCCCAAGCACAACGCCCAATCCCAACGCCCAAGCCCAACGCCCAAGCCAAACGCCCAAGCCCAACGCCCAAGCCCAACCCAACGCCCAAGCCCAACGCCCAAGCCCAACGCCCAACGCCCAACGCCCAAGCCCAACGCCCAAGCCCAACGCCCAAGCCCAACGCCCAAGCCCAACGCCGTGTGTTCATCTGGGGTTACAGCTTGCGCTCATGCACCTATAGCTGCAGGTGTCAGGTGGACGACAGGCTTCAAGCGGATTTCTCACCTCCGCTTGAGCTCTGATTTGGTGAATTAGTTCCCACACTTGGTTGCCACGTGCTTGTCTCAGCCCAGGAGTCATTAGTTTCCCTGTGTGTCCCCCTTTCTGCCTGCTCCGTTCCAGACTATGATCTGCTGCGTGCACTGGATGCGGACAACACTCCATCTGTCCCTGCCCTGAGCGATGTCGAGATTGCTCGCTTGCCTGCTTTCCCATACAAGCCAAAGAGGTATGCAGTTTGCTCACTGCCTGATAAATGAAACGAGCCATCAAGACCTCCTACTGGTAGGGCGTTTGGCACCGCTGATGCATCCTCAGCCATTCCCTGCACCATGTTTCTTGTGTAATCATAGAGGTGCCGGGCATTGCCGTGACTATCCTTTTGCAATGTTTTCCCTTGTCCCTCGTGTAAAATCTTGTAGCGGCGATGGATTTGCTCTGATTGCAGTCAAGCTGCCCTGCTGCTGGGTCAATTTCACCAAATAATATCAGTGTGCCTTCAGTAACGCCTCCATGCGTGTCCTGTTTTCTTGCTACACCAGGAGTCGATCAGGTGCATACAAGTCACGGCCCGGTTCCTCTTTGCCGTCATTATCATCGCCATCTATACAAGGAGCAGCAGGATCAGCAGCACCAGCTGCATCAGATGCATTGGCAGCAGCAGCAGCAACAGGCAGTGCAGCATCATGCAATCCGGTGTCAAGCCAGCAGGGGAAGGAGGGAGATGAGAGCAGAAGCGGCAGTGAGCAGTGTACAGTGTGTCTAGAGCCTTTCCAGGAAGGCGAGATGGTTCGTCTGCTACCATGCCTACACCAGGTGTGTCACTTCACCGATTCGCCCTTAAGTAAAAGCGTGCAGTGAGATGCACTGAAACCATTGCATTTTGGATGCATGAAATCACAGCAATGTGTCTTCCTCTCTGTTCCCCTCCCTTTGCTTTTGCCAGTTCCATTCGCAGTGTATTGATCAGTGGCTACAATGCCAAGCCAACTGCCCTAATTGCAAGCACCAGCTTGTGCTGTCATGAGATGATTCCTAGTGTGTGCTAGTAATATATTGCAAGGACACTGATATATGCGCAGCAGTTTGTTGTGTTCTCCCCCCCCACTAGTCCCACCGTATGTTTACTGCATCGTTTCCACTGTTCCCTTCTCCAAAATTTAGACAGGTGTCGCTTCTAGAGTAACAAGTTTGCGGCATCAAATTTATGTTATCCAGAAAGGAATAAATCACAGTTGTTGTACCCAATCACCCTTGGCCCAATCATCCATGGTAGGGGGGACCTCTTGTGGTGTCCACATGCCATTCTGGGCTGGGAGCCTGGGAGTACCCCCGGTTATGGGATGTCCGCCATGTGCATCACATTTCATGCATCATGCATGTACTGTACAACAATCACCCCGGCCTGGTGTGGTGGTGTGGTTTGCAGCAGGGGGACATAGGGGGTACTGTACGGTGCGGACAAGTCACCCGCCGCAATTGACTGGGTGATATCTCGCTATTAGCCAATGAAACTCACGATTCACATGGTCACACACGAGGCTGCTCCGCTTTTGACCTGGACTGTCTGCCAACGAAGCAGGACAGCACTTCTGCGGCTCGCCACGCGTAACCTTTTATCCAATCAAATATCCTTCTCCAACTCCGCTCCGCTTCCCCCGGACTTCCCTCCCCATTTCAGTCAACCCCTCGTTCGTTTCGCATCCTGTGCTCCCCCAGCCCAAACCAACCCCAAGGTCCCTGGAGATGCCATTGTGCCAAATTCCATTCCAAGAAAAGCTCCACATTTTGACATTTCAGGCATTCACGCATTGGTCGGTTTCGCTGACTTTCCTATTCACCCTTTGACATTCGCTTCTTGTTTTGAGCCAGGCTCCCTTGTGTCTTCTTCTCATCTCGTCTATCAAACTCGCTTCGAGAAACTACGACGCGGAGGGAGGTAAAGAAAGTCGGACGTCAGACCATTTTTCTGGAGTTTCGACGACTTCGCGACCATGGCTTCCAGCGAGAAGGTTCTGCGAACGGACACAATGAACGAGAATGTGCTCAAGACGGTGTACGCCGTTCGCGGCGAGCTCTATCTGCGAGCCGCGCAGCTTCAAGCCGAAGGCAAGGAGGTACGCGAATGACATTGAAGTTGAATCCGTGCGAATTG